ATATCCTATATCCTATATCCTATATCCTATATCCTATATCCTATATCCTATATCCTACATCACATATCCTATATCTTTTATCCTGTATTTCATATACTATATCTCTATAATGTTTTACAAATTTTGCAAACAGTTTTCGACGAGAACTTCGTCTTTGAAGTATCCGCCGGAGTGATTGACAAGCGCACAGTGGAGATCTTGCTGTACGATTTCGATGCGTATTCTCGTCATGTTTGCATTGGTGGAACCAAATTGCATTTGGCCCAATTGGATCTGAGCGAACAACTGAAATTGTGGACGCCGCTAACCTCGGCCTCGGCGCAAGATATGAAAATGGATCTGGGCGATATAATGGTGTCGCTGGCCTATTTGCCATCCGCCGAGCGCTTGATGGTGGTGTTGATTAAGGCTAGAAACTTACGGATTGTGGACGATGCGCGCAACTCTTCGGATCCGTATGTAAAGGTCTCTCTCCTGGGTCCCGGTGGAAAGAAGTTGAAGAAACGCAAGACAGGTGTACAGCGCAATACCGTTAATCCGGTCTATAACGAAGCCTTGGCCTTCGATGTGGGCAAGGAGACGCTCAAGAATTGTGTCCTCGAGTTCACTGTGGTGCACGACGGCCTGTTGGGTGAGTGGATGCCAAGTGGATGCTAATATAACAGTTAACTAAAACAGCTTTTGCACACAGGTTCGAGCGAAATATTGGGTCGTGCTTTAATTGGCAACTCCCCTGAGGTGCAGCACGAGGAGAAGATATTCTTCGAGGAAATGTTTCGGGCCAAGAACGCAACGGCTCAGTGGGTGCCGCTGCAGGAACCAACCGCAAACAACTTGAGTACCACAGCCAAGGCAACAACCAAAAATTAGAATCCACAGAGCGCGAGCTTTCGCTGTTAAGCTGTTAACAGAAACTGTTAAAGGAATAGAAGAAACTTTATCTGCAGGGAATTCAAATTGGCTAAGAAATTCTCCGGGAATTTGCAGGGATACATTTAAGACGGACACAGAGCGGGTTTGCGAAAAATTAAAAAAATATATAAAAACAAATATATATATGAAATATATATATAAGAAATAATATATAAATAATATATATTTATTGATGTGCATATTACAGTTAGATCTCTATATAATGAACACAGTAATAACAAAAATGTAAAATATGCTACGGAGCTTGAAAGCTCTACTCTCTAATTTCTATTATTTCCTATAAAAAAAAAAAAAAAAATTAATTTTTATAGAGTTTTTTTTTACAAAAATGTTTATTTTTCCTTGGTTTATATAATGTTTATTAAATACTATTTAGTTTGTTATTTAAGATATGTTTTAAAGGGGAACACTGACAAAAAATAAAGTTAAAAAAAAAAAAAAAATTAAAATAAAAACGAATACAAAAACCAAACAAAAATAATTTAAAATTTAATTTTATTAATTTCGCCATATACTAATGTAGTTTATTCAAAATGAAGTTATTGTTTGTACATGTTTTTATACAGAATTATTAAAATCCATTTTACCAAGAATTTAGAAACCATTTTCCAAATATTTGTTTCTCTATGTGAAATCAGAGATTTGTTTAACTTTAAAAAAAAATTGATTGTTTGCCCAAAAATAATACCTTTTTTGCTTTAATAATATAAGATTTGTTTCATATAAATATATATTTATAACTATATATAGAGATTATAAATATTCGTGAAAGAGATGCTACTGTAGTCACATAGCAGCAAATCTCAAACAAGTGTATGTGCTTTCCATGATATCAATTATTCTTTTATTTAAAATAAAACGTATATATTCTATATATTCATAACTATATTGAAAAATACTTAACTGTGCTACGTATATGTCAAGAAGTACCTAAGATGAAACTAAAGTTATATATACATTTATATAATAACTATGAATACGCTACGTCAAAAGTATATACATATACATACATATATCTATGCTACATATAATGTATGTGTATGCTGAGGGCTATGAAAGATATGAATACTATTTAAGTATATTATCTCTACTTGAATTTACATACATATTACAATTATCAGATATATATATATACATAAACAGTTAATCGAAATCTATTGTAGAACAGATTTTAAATATTCCTAAGCCTTTCGAACCAAGAGGGTTTCAGTAAAAAAATGGGCACAAAGAAAACAAAAAAGAAGACAAAAATAATTATTAATTAATTCTAATTTATGCTGAAATATGAAATGAAACATTCACTATGTAACTAGAAAATTAAATGTAGCGAATATGTTATTGAGCAAACTAATCTATAGTTCAGTTAATTACGCACTATGTAATCAAAACAAGCATGCAATCTTATAATAGCAAACAGTTATATAACAATTCTTTACAATAAATAAAATAAAGTGAATACATATACATATATGCATACATATATATATGTGTATATATATGTGTATATAATAGTATACGTTTTTTTTCTGATTAAACTTCAAAAGTTGGTGAGAGTTTAAAAAGGTTTACCTATATATTGAATATTGAATTTAATGTTTTTTTGCTTTTCCATTGCCTCCAAATATTTCTTTAATTACCAAAAGAAATCGAATAAGAATTGCAAGCATTTCTTCGCCCTAGATTTGATATTATTTAGATATAAACTTTTTGGAGCTTGTCATGTGAAATTTGTCTAATCTTTGCAAATCAATGCATTCCTGTCAGCTCTATATATGGTTCACAATTTCTCTGGATCGTCTTCAATGTGGCAAATAGTCGCCTATTAAAAACTTGCCATCCGATGTGGCCGTCGGACTAAAAGGGAATGCAGTCAAAGTCTGGTCATTGCGCTCTCTTTTGGCTTCACTTATTTGGCAAATACTTTGCAACTTGTTGACCAAAACTTGGCGTAAAAAGTTTCCAATTTTCTATGCGTCTGTGTGTGTGTGTGTGAAAGCATTTAACTAATTTTGTAACATTGACTGATGCATCCATCCAAGGAACGCTTCTTGATTGGCCGTTAAATCAGCCAAGCCAAACCGAATTGTTGACCGTGGCCGACTCGAGGATAGAAGAAGAAGTTCAAGTCCTCTGGTGTCTCTCTCAGTTAAACGTAAATTTCCTTTCAATCAAAATGTGCTTTCATTCAATTTAGTTGCTGTCTGCTAAAATAGAGTGAAAAGCCGGCCAAGAGCAGAGAGTAAAAAATAATGAAATAGAAGGAAAAAGGGCAAAGCCAGCATCAACTTTGAACTATTGCCAATCCTTGATGGCGCCAAAAAGTAGACAACGGGCGTAGCGTCTTATCGGCAAAAGGAAATTCTCTGATAGATTGTCAGCTAAGCACTTATACATATATACAATAGGTTGTATGTGTGTGTGTGTGCGGTTGTCTATGTGTACATTGTGTATCTGCATTGGGCCCTGGTTGGCCATGAAATGTCAACATCGAAGATAACTCGAACGACACCGCAATTTAGGGAAATTGTTTGACCAAATATTTGCGTGCCTCTTGCCAAAATGCCGGCTAGTTGGCTTAAAGTAATATTTGGGGCTTGTAGGTAATAAAAATTAAACATAATGATGAAGAATTCCGGTTTGTAAAGAATATGAATATGTAATGAATATGCTAATGAGAGTTGACTAAAACATTAAGTCTAATGTCATGTTTAATAGTTGTGTAAAAATTAATACATAGTTTTACAAATTACGCGACTTTACCTTTTTATACCCGCTTTAAAATGATTTTCATTTATAAATGCGAAAAATCGATCGATTTTATATCCCATGCATCCTTTTTCACAGCCGGTTAATAGACGCTGATAACTTGTCGAAAACCGTTTAGATCTTAATTAAGCTGTTATATAGAAGCCACTAAATTAATTTATGCATAGCCTGTGCAATAGATTCTACCGATTCGCTACCGATTCAATGCTGAATAACCGGTTGACAAAGCCCTCACACTGCGCCACCATAAATCTAAGGTTTTTTCTTAATTTATGTTATGTAAAGTAAATATTTTACATTAGATAATTGCATATTAACCGATTGGTAACCGTTTCAGTAACCGCTTAAAATTAACAAATTCTTTTTCATATAAAGAAATATTGTAAATGAGAAAAATAAGCATCCCTATCAATATTTCATTAAAATCTTACTTTAATATACCCCAATTTTTAATATTTTATAAGACAGTTTGCTAGTGCACGAACAAGTTTCGGTATTAACCGTTTCATAACCGTTTGACTTGCGAGTGACTTTTGAAGCGAGCTAAGCCACATTGTTGTCAGAAAACCCAATTATTTATATCAGTGCGCCATAGACAGAAATACGTGACAGACTCAAAGTGAAGTTGTTGGCCGGCGGCAGTATGCTCGCTTATTGGATTTGGCCATTAATCCCGAAACTGCGATTCTTATACGTATTTATTGGCCATTCAATATTTCAGCTATTGCTGATTCTTCTATTTCTCCAATTCGGCTATCAATTTTTCGCCGCCAACAAAAAACTACTTCGCTTCAAAGTCAGTGGCAATAAACTGCAAGCGACTAACGAGCAAATTCCATTTTTAATTTCGTCATGCCACTGTCTTTGTTTTTTTCACTTTTTATCAGCTTTTTTCATTGCCATTTTATCCAATTCTTCTATTGCGCTTTTCAAAGCTTGTCAGCGGAAAACGTAAACTAACGACATTTTCGTTTTCTTATTTACACAATCAATTTCGAGCTTTTGTGATGCGGCAAAAGGCGAACGGCAAATACGAAAAGCAACAACAACAGCAACAACAGCTACAACTTCTACTCTACTCCCTCTTTCGCTTTATAGTCTGTTGCATTTTTGTTGCGACTCGTATGTTACTCCCGTTGTTTCGTTAAGTTCGCTTTCGCATTTGGTGTTGGCATTCTGTGCCGCGAGGGAAATTGTCGTCAAAGTGAACAAAAAAACTAAACAAAAACAACAGCACAGCAACAACAAAAGACAAAAAACAAAATTCAGCTTGTTTGTTGTTTTAACAGTGTAGCAACAGCAGCAGCAGTAGCTGCCGCCCCCGCCACGCCCCGCTCTTC